GAGCTTAACAAACCGAAAATAACATGTTGAGGTCGCAGTCCACTTCCCGCGTACTGCTAGGCACAGCCCTGTAAGGTCACTGAAGAGTAAGCACTAGCCCCTCAGAATGACAAAGCAGCCAACCACGAGCTCGCATCGAGTTCCCATGCGAAACGATCGCTGCCAATTCTGGCTTTATCACCTTTTCTCACGCACCAAAGTCCCTCCAAATCTCCGCTCTCGCTGCAACGCGATGCTGGGTAAAAAGTCCAATGGATGCCCATGTGAATCTGGGCCGCTGCTGCTTTGGCCTTGGCCCTCTCGGATACCATTCTCTTTCTGTCAGAGTCACTTTCGCTTCTCGTCTTACGGATGGACGTGCTGGTGTTTGCTAGCTGACGAGGCTGGAGCCTGTGCCTCTTTTCTTTCCATCTCAACGCCATTCACTTGATATCGGACCATAGTCGACATGTCTCGCTCGGCGATTGCAGTTGCGTGCCTTTTGGCAAGGCCGGTAGTGGGCTTGGCAGGATGGTGGACTTGGTCGCCCTACACTCTGACACCACATTTCGCATACCAAGACCCGGGATCTGGTGATATTCTGCACAGCTCGTGCAATAGCAACGGATCGGCTTCGTTTTCGACGAAAAATCCCAATAAGTTTCCACTCAAAGAGCAACCCAAGGCCGCGACACCGCTCGCTATCTCTGGCTGGTGGGATGACGATCTCAATACGCCAATCGTGAGCATCTTCCAGCTCTCGCTGACGGAGCTTCGCTAATATTTCAGGCCTCCGTATTTTACCAGAATGCCGACGACGGGATTGTGAACGCATACTTGATATGCGACAACACAACAGGCAATTACAAGCTCGACACCGATGGCGAAGAGGTCGTTTCCGATTCGGCTGGGCTGCCCTCGGTGAACGAAAAGACTGGATTGGCGGTTGCAGAGCTTGGAGACTCGGGCGGCTCCCGAGTCTACTACCACGACGAAGATGGACGAATCAACCTTCTCGCATACGATGACGATACCGATTGGCGATACGATGGTCCGGTGTCGCTGAAGAAGCCGGGCGGTATGACGATAGCGGCTGTACAAACAAAAGGTACCAACGTTTCGGTGGTGTATCCCTACGATAGCAAGGACATTGTTGTTGCTCGCTACAATAACGATAACAAGAGCAAATGGCGGCTAGGTAAGGACAGACAGTTCCGCAAGGCCAACGGTGTAACTGACAGGCGCCCCAGAATCCTTCCCAACACCGTTCGATAGCCCAGCCCCGACAAATGCGACCGAGCCTTCCGATATACGACTCGATACATCGACAGCGGCATCGCTCACCCTCCCCTCCTACGACAACACCGCCGTCGATCTAGGTATTGCGAACCAAGCTGGCAAGGGATTGACGGTGTTTTACATCGGCAAAGACTCCCAATTACACGCGATAACACATAAGAATGGCGCCTGGGCAGAGGAGGACAGCCCCGGAAAGAAGAAATGGCCCGAAGCAGACGACGCTTCTGCGCGCTTGGCTGTTGTATCACCGCTGGACTCGGACGAGATCTGGGTATACTACATGAGCGGCGATAAGATTAAAGAACTACACAAATCTGACGGTGGAACTTGGGATAATGCGCAGACACCATCATCAAACAACGCTACGAACAGCGACTCCGATTCCGAAGGCGGTGACGAAGCAACGAGCACAGGCGATAGTTCTGGCGCCAAAGAGACAGAGAGCGCTGCAGCTGATGCAGACACAGGAGGAATGACGGCTGGAGCCAAGGCCGGTGTTGGTGTTGGAGTCAGCGTGGGCGTGCTAGCAATCGCTGCTGGTGCGTTCTTCTTCCTGCGCAGAAAACGCCAGGCACCAGTTGACAGCGAGCGTAAAGGCTCGGCTGAGTTGGCTAGTTATCATCCTGTTGAGCTGCCGACCGAGGTGCATGAGCCGCAGGAGTTGTCGGGGATACAGAACCAGCAGTATGAGCTGCTCGGCGACACGAGGAGAGCGACGTAGAGTAGTACCTAGTCCAGTCCGCAGTATCATGCCTTGTTTAAGCCTATAACAAGGCCACTTCCCCTCCATGGACCTTATCCCCGCATCGATTATCTTGTCAGCTGCCACTCCTCAGATCCAGAACCAAGAAACGTGCTTAAGCCTGAATAAAATCCACCAATGTCTCGTCTCCATTATGTCACTAACCCATGAACCCACTCACATTCCAAGGTTTTCCAAGATAACCTTAACATCCCGCTCCACTTTTCAAGGCACAATTGCTCCGGGATGGATGCACTTGATCATTGACGTAATGTTCCAGGAACGCGATCAAACAAACTCGAGAGCACGCGACATGTCAACCTTCAACTCTACAGGCACAGCATCACCCGCTGTAGAGAAGAGTCAGTCGACATGTCTAGCAGTGTTGTCAGCACCTTTGTCGGCGCCATTCAGGCGTCGGCGTCTGTTCTCTTGACCATCTTTTATGGTGTTGTCGCGGGCCAGACAAAGCTTCTTAGTGTTGAGACGGGACGGCAGATCTCAAAGATCTGCATCAAGATGTTTCTTCCTGCGCTTCTGGTTGTCAATCTGGGTTCACAGATCGAAGCCTCCAATGCACTTCAATACATTCTCATTCTCGGTAAGCCACCAAGCTCTCCCGAGTCCACAAGTCTAATGTTTCGTAGGATGGGCACTGGTCTACAACCTCGTCTCAATCGGAATCGGTTACGCCCTTACCAAGGTCCTCAGTCTCCCAAAATGGTTCACGCCCGCAATCACCTTCAACAATACCACGTCTTATCCTCTCCTCTTGATCCAATCCCTCGGTTCAGCTGGTGTTCTCTCTGCCCTAGCAAAGTCCGACGATGATACCAGCGACGCAATCATTGATCGAGCCAAGTCCTTCTTCCTAGTCTGTTCCGTCATCTCCAACATGCTCACCTTTGGTCTCGGTGGAACGCTTCTTGGAGTCAGTGACGAAGATCCCGTCGACGCTATGGACGCCGACCTCAGGGACCGAGCGGGACATAATGACACGCCAGATGAGAGTGGCTCGGACGAAGAGAATGGAGAGTCTAACGAACAAACGTCACTCCTTCCGGGACCTCTTCCACGATACGCGAAGAAGGCATCTCGCGGTACTGCGCAAGCTCAACACGCTGTCTGGGACAAGCTACATCCTCGCATTCAGCACGCGCTGGCTCTCACGACTCAGTTCATCAGTCCTCCATCTGTCGGCGCCACCATTGGTGTCATTCTAGCTTTTACGCCTCCCCTCAAGAAGGCTTTCTTTGCTGACAGCGAGGATGGTGGTATCTTCAACGCCTGGTTGACAGTTAGTCTCAAGAACATTGGAGAACTCTTCGTCACCCTGCAGGTCATTGTCGTTGGAATCAAGCTCGCTCACAGTCTTCGACGTATGCGCCAGGGACATGACTCTGGTAGCATCCATTGGCTTCCCTTGTCTATTGTTGTACTGATCCGCTTCTTTATTTGGCCAGTGTAAGATGGCTCCCAACACCATGCACGATTTTCACTACTGACACTGGCAATTAGTCTCAGCATTTTGTTCATCCGAATGCTCGTCACCCAGACCGACGTGCTAGGCCAAGACCGTGTCCTTTGGTTCACCATGATGCTCATGCCCGCTGGTCCACCAGCCATGAAGCTTGTGGCCATGGCCGAGGTCGACGACGCAGACGAGGATGACAAGATGTCCATCGCTCGAGTTCTGATGGTAAGACACTTGTCGATCAGACTTCCATAAATCCTACTGACATGTTTTGCAGACTTGCTATGCTATTTCTCCCTTGTTGTCTCTCGCAGTGGTCGCAAGTCTTAAAGCCTGTACTTGATCGGTCACACCATGTCCGCGGCATGCTGAGGAACAGGAACAGCTGTCACCAAATCACTCGAATTCTCGCCCGAGTTGAAGCTGTGGCGTCGTTGATGATCCCTAGAGCTCCGATCTTGTACCATGCAGTGGGAGCCTGGCATTCTTGCGTGGAAAACCCATCCACTTCTGCCTTATGGCCCGCTCCCAAGACATAGAAGCATCAATAGAAGGTGTCTTTCTCGTTTCTTGACCATAATGGATTTACGACTGCGTTGTGCAGGATGATATGACAGCATCAGATCATGAAAAACTAAGAATACAATAAAGTCATTCTCCATCAGATCCCATGGCAGTTTCCCTTTCCATATCGCCTTGTCATGTCCGTCTGCCCATCAGCTCTTCAGAACAGCCCACGTTAAGAGTAAAACTGCCGTAGCCACGTTCCCGACAACCTTACTCATGTTGCTTCCCATCATCCAAAGTAATACCGCGATCCCAGCCTTATACAAGCTCATCAACCCCAGGAGCGTCGTAACTCCGTCGCCGTTTCCGTTCACCTGGTGTACCAACAAGAGAATGCCAACTGAGACCTCCCAAATGCCCAGCATGTAAATAGGTGCCGAGCTTGGGTCATTCTTCGAAGTGGCCGTATGATTCAGTCCATTGAGTGCATATTCTGCTTGCGGGTTCGTGAAGGCCATTATGCTTCTAGCGATGGACGCGAGGCCTAGGGCGTAGATTGCGAGTTGGGAGAAACCCATCGTGTCACATACTAAGTTACGCCTATAGTAATTCCAGTGATATAGTTGCAGAAGTGGCGTGGTAGTTGAGAGGCTCTGTGACGATGGAAATGTGTGAGAAGGAGGATCTTGGTTGAGATTGGCTGACGTGAGATATCTTGTCCAAAGACCCACGCAAGGCAAGGCAACCAAACTTGGAACCCCTTATCTGAATAGTGGAAATGACTTGGGCAAGCTTATTAGACCCTTGAGCCAGGTCGTTCTGACGCCCCGATTCCACCTCAGAAGTTTCCATGCTTCCTGAGGCCACGCAAGATGGACATAAGACACAATAAGACAATTCATGGATTTAGGCCACCATTTGGATTGTATACGTTCATTCAAATATCCAACGTCTATTATAACAGTACCCGAGACCAGTTTTACAGAGAATCATTCCCATTTAAGTGACAGTGTAGCCTCCATCAACTCGGAGATCCGATCCAGTCATGTACGAAGAAGCATCAGACAAGAGGAAGGTCACAGGTCCCATCAAGTCTTGCGGCTGGCCCATTCGTCCCTGGGGAATGAGAGACGTCCATGTCTTTTCAAGATCCGGATTGTCGTTCAAGATCTTCTGCGTTCTGCGGCCTGTTAGTCAAAGCTCAATGGTGGGTCTAAGGATAACTCACAAAGCAGTCAGCATGTAACCGGGAGAGATACAGTTGACACGAATGCCAGCATGAGCCCACTCAACTGCCAAAGAAGCAGCGAGATGACGAACCGCTGCCTTGGCAGCGTTGTACGGACTAATCAGCACCATCAGCAACTACTTCTCTCGGTTCCTTGAGGGTGACTTACGCCTGCGGTTGAGGAACGTTGACGATGGCCCCAGACATGCTGCCTATAACAACAATGCTTCCAGGGGCCTCACGTTCCATAAGATGTTTGGCAACAGCAACGGCGAAGAGATAAGTTCCGTCGACATTGACACCCCATAGCTTGCGCATACGTTCAATGGGATAGTGGATCGCATCAAAATTCTCAGTGAAGCCGGCTGATGTAACTAGGCCATCGATCTTGTGATGGATGCTGAGAATCTCGGCGATGCATTTATTTACTGAGTCTTGATCTGCAACATCTGCGTAGTGAGCTGTAACTCGTGGGATTCTGTGGGTTCTTTAGAAGATGTGTCGAAGGAGGAATTGATAGACTGACTTCTGGCTGTTGGGATTCTCCCTCTTGAAGGCATCAGTCAACTGCCCAACCTGAGACTGCGCTTCATCCTCTGAAGCCTGTCAGTACCTCATAGGATCATGCGGAACATTTACATACTGTTCAGGTCAACAATCGCCAAATCAGCACCCGAGTAAACAATTCCCTGCCCCATAACCAACCCCAACCCTCTAGCACCGCCCGTGATAACAATCGTCTTTCCTTCAAGCGACAACGACGCCAACGTAGGTCTGGAGAACTGTCCTCCCTGGCCGATCAACGGCTTACTAGCAGGAAGTTCATGATGTTCAGGGTACTCGACGCGAACAGCAGCGTCGGTACGAGAGTAGGATCGCTTTGGTGGAACCCCAGGAGGCATATTGAAGATGTAAGCAAGTCAATCGATAATAGATAGATATGACTACAGAGGGACCCAAATGAGGGGATAGAGGTTCAGTTTTATTCACCCCTCAACATCTGGTGATCCTTTCCGAATCCCGATCACGGCACCAAGAAAACATGACATTCTTCTGCTGATCCAAGACATCGATATTGGTGAGCTGCGAGGGGGACGCGTTATGTAGGTCTCAGCTGATTGGCAAAGATTTCCTGTTTGAGTAGCGGTCAAATCTATCACTTCTCTTGAAAGAAAAGAATGCATATGGATAGCTTTAGAGTAATATTTCATCCCCCGCGTCACGGTTGACCGATCCGGGTATGCCGAGTGTTGATACGGGTGTCCACGTGAACCCCCACGTTTCCGGGTCCCGTTACCCTGGATCAGATCATGTTGGGTTGTCTGACAACGAGATCTACGGCCATTGTTGGTTGATTTCGGCTGGGAAACAATGGTCATCTGCTTTCTAGAGTTTTATTTGTGGAGATGGTGTTCTTCTAAGTTTGGAATGAGGCGAAACGGAAATGCAGCCTTGACAGCCGGTCGGATGAAACGTGAGCAAGCTAGGGAGGCACACCAACACCTGGGAAGTTTCGATTTCAGAAGTAGACTAGACACGTACATAATTTGAGGCTCAAGTTCGCCGTGAGCAAAACAATAAGTCATAGGTAATCCCAGACATTCTGGGTGTATTCACGTGTCACAGTGCCGCTACCCTCTCAGCCTCCCTCTTCACCTCTGCACTGAACCCTTCAAAGTTCCTCCTTGCACTTCTTCCTATAATCCAACCGGGCTTCCAAAGAAAAACAATGAGTCCATGCCAGTTCTCCCTTTGCGTAAACGTCGTCCCCCCAGGCGTCTTTGTGCTCGCTCTCCAGCTAAACTCATGACGACCTGTGACAAGAGGCCATAACCCCCCCTCCCACTCAAATACATCAGGGTCGTTTCTCTGAGAATGGTTAGGCATATGATATGGGGATCTAGATGGAATTACTGACGATAAGAGTGGCCGTGAGCTTGGCGTCTTTGACATCGACCTTCATCTTTTCCATCGGCATCAAGTCATCGATCTTTTTGGATGAGACTACTGGTTCGATGGACCAGCTGCTCCATTCTGGGAAGCGAGGAAAGTCTTTGAACTATCCGCTATTAGATACAGGCCAAATAGTCATGGGAGATGCCTTACGAGTGATTTGACGACCTCAACTGGGGCATCGATCTCGACTTCGACAACCAAGGATGCTTTTTGGCCCATGATCACGGTGATTTGAACAGGATGATCCTGCGAGTATCATTCGTCTATTATAATCTCACGACACGTGCAGGTATTTCCATATAGTATCTGTCATATATGTGTCTCTGGCAACGGACTTGTCGGACTTTGCCATGGAGCTGAGTGTCAGCGATGGTAAGATATCGGATATCGGGAAAGCTGACAGGAATGAGTGAGCAATTTCTCAAAATGGTAGCCCCCAATGCCTGCGGTAGCGCGAATGAATCGGCCATGGTGCATGTGTATCACAAGTTTACAACGTTCTCCCTGTCTCGTGACCGAATGTGAGGATTCGGCCATGAGATTTGACATGCATGACGCGCGAATTGGTAACGGGAAGGTTTATTATCGCAAAGCTCTTTGCATAAGAAACGAGCATGAGATATTGATAATTTCTGCTTGGGCTGTCGAGATGGACTATGTCTCTTGTCATGTGCTGTGCAATCTTCAATATGGTGGACAAGGAATCACAGCAGTTGAACCAGCTGCGACTCCGGAATCTGCGGAAGTAGATCGAAGTACCGACCGCAACTTGCGGCTTTGAAGGCAACGCACGCCTCACGGCAGCTCCAGCGAACAATATACATATGGTGCAAAGTAATTGATGTAGCGGGCAGCTTTTGTGTGGCCTCTCACTGTGTTCACTTTTGATCGAGCTCATGAATTGCAAGCTCAAGCTCAATCGGGATGCGGGGTCGGCGGCCGATGGCGGCGCGGGGAGATTCAAGATAGAATAACCACCGCCGCTTCAAGGTGTGCGCGCTGTGGAATGGAATGAGACGTAACAATTCACATGAAACCACCAATGAATCATCTCAATTGAGTTTACTGTGTCGCTACAGTGATCCACGTGGCTACCGACATGCCGAGTGAAGCAGAGAGGGGGAGGAACCTTATCCACCAAAGTCTTACAAGGAAGCTTGTAAGCTCAATGCTACTAACATCTTCACATCGCCAACGTCTCACCGACATCAACCTCTACCCAATCTACAACAGTCACAATGGCACCCACGGAACTCACCCCAGAGCTATCTCAGCTCTTCCAAAACATCGAAACCCGCTTCAAAGACACCCAGCTAGGCAACCAGCGCTGGTATCTCCTCGTCATCGCCTGCCTCTCCGCCAGTCCCGACCCCGAAGCAGCAGCAGCTCTCTACCAATACCTCACTCGTCAAGAAGCCTACCAGACCAGTGAATCACGCCAGGCTCTCATACGACGCCTCCGCGAAGCCCTCGTCAAGACCATCATCCTCGTCGGCGTGTGCAAACCCATCGAAGCAATCCTGTCAATCATGCAGGTCGAAAAGCCTGAGGACCGCGACTTTAGCCAAACGCGCGACGGATGGCAAGCTGACCAAGCAAACCACGACCGCGGAATCGATTGGTTCAAGAAAGTGTACACTCGAAACGCAGGCGATACGATGGGGTTGTTTGACGCGCACAAGGATTTCTCATGGGTCTCGGCGGAGATCACGTATGGGCTGTTTCTATCGGATCGGCAGGTTTTGGACGACACGGACACGCAGCTTGTGGTGCTGCCGGCGATCATGAGCCAGAATCTCCCGCTGGAGACGCATTGGCATATTCGGGGGACGCGACGAATCGGGGTGTCGAAGGAGGATGTTCAGATCATCTGGGACAGTGTCAAGGAAGTGTCAAAGCTCTTTGGGGCCGAATTGCACAAAGTGCCGACGGTGGATGAGGTTGAGCCTGATGTGTAGGTCTGAACAAACAGCGAAAGCATGCTATAGATCAATACAGGCAACGTAAAATAGATCAATCACGGACCAATATAATACATTACATTGCGCAAGAGACGAAGCCGAGCATGTCTGTAGTGGCATTGACCTTGGCGCGATCGATCGGTTGAGGAAGTATCGCGACAACACCACAGGACAGCCGCGCTCTCATTGCGGACAAACCTTGAGGGCGCTCGACGAGGGTTGATAGGCCAACTTGGGCGGCAACCACCCATGACGGCGACACCAACAGCTTGGCCCGCGGCGGATCTACTAGAGACAGGAGAGTCTTAATAGACCAAGACCAACATGGAGTTTATAGACAATAGCGGGCTATAATGATGCGGCTCGTCTCGGGAGGAAGAGGTACGTGATGGGATAGAGTTTGGAAGACCGAGAGCTAGAAGCGCTGGCGTCGGGAGGGTCGAGAGCGGGACAGGAGAGCTGAATATCGCGAAGTGGGAGAGTACTACATAGTACAAGCCTAACATCATGGCATTCACTGTTGTCTGTCTGGTGGGCGAAGAGACCCACCCGTAAGCATGCTGAAGAAATGGTAGCCCAAGGCAAAGAGCATCCGAAGTCGCTCACTATCGCCGCATGCAAAGGTGAGCAAGGTGGCATTGATGACGGAGCAAGAGGCGAGTGGCAGTCAGAGCAAAGGCCGGTGCCAGCTCAACGTTGGGGCCTTGCAGTGCACTCGAAATCATCTGCACTAACAATTGTTGTGCAACGCCAAGCCGCAGACCTTGCTGTCTTTTCGACAAGGGTATTCACCTTGCAAAAAGGTACATTCAAGCTTGTCGCTCTCAATGTACCTTTCTCCTATGCCTCTCCAGCCATCGAATTTCGGTTGCTCACATCGCGAGATAGCAAACGCGTTTGTGGGGCTTTAGCGTGTATCGTGCGCAACACACGCGAGGAGACGCGTTAAGTATAGGCAATGAGTCGGGGAACGAGGTGGGGCCGGGAAGACGTGTCTCGTGTTCTGCGTGTTCGCCTGTCGTGGCTGGCTCATTTTTGAGGTGAGACTGCTCAGAACAGGGGAAGACAGAGATGACGACGGTGGCTGGGAGCAGTTATCAATTCTCCATTTTGTGCAGAATAAGCTTCTGCCATTTTATTGACTTATGCAAGCGTTAGAATCTGGGCAAAATGTTGAACTGCCCCCCCCCCTCAGGTGCTCATCAAAGTCAGTCACGATACTCCGTATGGGGAGCACTGTTGCTATCGACCACGATCTTTGTCGCCTGAGTCGAATATGACTCAAATATAATCGTGCGAGGTTTTGTATCTGCACTTTTTTCTTCCCATGTTGTCGAAGATATGCCGGTCACCAGTAAATGATATACAACCCTTCAAGACGTCTCCTATCGTTACTGCACGGTGACAGTTAAATCTTCTCCGTGCAACACACTATCAGGCTTGAATACAACGGGGCAAGGGGCATTTCAGGCGCCCAGATTGATGGTTTCACACTCATCTCGCTCTATTGGTTCCCATCCAGCCGTAATAGAAACGGGGATATTCATCCAGTATCTCCGGATGTTGGCGGAACTGGGCCTCAGGGGGCAAGAAACAGCAAACCTTAGTGTAGGGTATTAAAATAAACTTAGTAAAAGTTATCCTATGCTTAGGCTATATCACTTAAGTCTTTTTATCATTTAGGATTAAGGTTCTATAATTTCTTTCCTCCCCTAGCTAGGGTCTTAGCTACCTATAAGACGTACTCTATTTTTAAATAGGGCTTAGGCAAGGGTTATAGGGCATAATAGGCTGCTAATACAGTTAGTAACCTGTTAGCTATTAAAGACCTATAACTTAATATTATCCTATTAAAAATAGCCCTTTTTTTAATAATTAGCCTATTATAGCTAATATATTAATATTATAATATAAATTTTTAGTAGTTAATAGATTATTAACTATATTAATAGCCTACTATACCTTATAGCTAGCTTATTAATTAAATTATAAATTAAATTAATAGGGTTAATAGGCTAATAGCCTATTTAATAGCCTTTATACCTATATAGACCTTTTAATTAAGGTATAATATACCTTTTAATATATATTAAAATAATAAATTCTCTTTTATAATAATAATTAAATTATTTAATTAATAATTTAATAGTTTAATAATTAATTAAATTAATACTTTAATTAAGGCTATAGATTTAATTATAGCTTTAAATTTTTTTTTTTTTTTTAAAAAAAAGAGGCTTTTATAATACCTCTTTTTTACCCTTTTTAATATTTACTATAATTACCTTTAATATCTCTATAAGCCACTTTAGGCTATTTTAACTAGCTATTAAGGTTAAGCTATTAATAGTTAATTAATTAAAATAGTTATTACCTTAAATAGTTTAATTAGTATTATTAAGCCTATTAATTAAATTAAAATAAAGAGAATATTAATTAAAATAAAAGTAAAATATCTAATAAATAATTATAGCCTATTTAGGTTAATAGCTTATTTAGAAATAATAACTATTATAATTAATTATTTTTTAGTAATCTATTAAGGCCTTAACAGCCTGGCTAAAAACCTAGCCAAGGACCTATTCAGAAGGGGGGGTAGCGTGCAAAGGTACAGAAGCTAAGACGGACGCGGGACGGCACAAAGTGGAGACCGGCCTCTCTCCAGATGCTCCGTACCGTTTGGTCTCCACTGTCAACACCAACAACTTCACCTCCAAACGTTTGGTGATGGTGACCAATGTCAATAACCGCGGTCTAAACTTTATTTAACAGACAGTAGAATGAGTGAGTCACATACCGAAATATCGGTGAGACTCTTGGTCTTACTTGTCTGTTTCGTGGAGACTGAGATCTGATGGAAAGAAGCGCTAGAACATGACAACTCCGATGCTAGATGGCAGTGCGAATACGCTAGAGCTCAATAAACAGGAAACATATCACATTTAACCTAGTATGTGAGAAAACACCCCCTGTTACCCATCTACGACAATAGCTATGGTGGCGCATACGCTTGCCAACACTGTCGCTGAAGAGGTCATAGCGAAACGGTATGTTGGAATACGTAGATGAGAGGACTTCTAGAACATTCGACATCGAATGGGAGAGTATATAAATGCTCATGCTGAGATCTATTGTCTCGTGGTGCTGTTCGTTAGTGCGGGCATGGCAGTCATCGTGAAGGGATGGAATTGCCTTTAAGGTAGAATGAAATGAAATCACCAACAATCACAACTTTACTCGTCTGAGTGCAGTGACAGCCAAGTCGAGAACCTGGACTGTTAAAAAGTATCGTCGTACTGACAGCCCCATGATATCGCAGCGCAAGTAATCATCCATCTTCACAATATCGGCAAAGGGTCCAGCAGGTTGGAACTGCCCCATGACGCAGCAGCCCTACCTCACACCCACCTCATCTCTACAGCAGCACAGGCATGGGACAAGGATTGTCCTTGCCAGTCGGTGAGGGCAGTAGCACATCGCCAACGTTGATTCCCGTCATATTTCCAACGCCACCCGTATTCCACCCGTATTGTGGATACCCACCAAACGTTTATTTTCCGATACATCACTAGACCAAACAGACAAATTGACAACTAGACACGTGATTCTCAGAATGATAGAAAGGCTCCGTGAAGGTCAAAAGGACAGCTGATTCCATAGATGGTTCCATTGGAGTTCTTCTTTTCAACTACTATCAATAGCATCCATCACAGCCGCGCTTGAGCAACTTTACCCTTCATTCATATCATATCACCTAACACCTTTACCCTCTCAAATTATGTCTGAGAACAACAACATTCGACCATACCTAATGCCTGCCTTCCAAGAGACCCCCTCATCCCAGCGTGTTGTGCAGCGTCGACCACTCCCTTCCTCAGCGCCTAAGCGCACTGTAGCGCAGATGGATGAAGTGAGACATATACCGTGACAAACATTCAACAAAGCTGACTGATGTAGGATATAAACCAGGAGAGCCCCAGCACCCCACCCAAGAGAGGTGCCCGCAAACTTCCGCGTGGAAGGAAAGATGCTCAAAAGTCCAGGGTGAGGCGCAATAAGGATGTGAAAAACCCATCGCCAAGCCCTGACCCGTCGCCCACCACCCCAGCTGAATGCTCTGTGGCAACGCATTACACAGCTATCCCGGGACACGGGTCTATTTTCTATGCGGAGGATCGCCCTCCGCTTTTCGTACCCAGCACAATGATGCACATGCACCAGGCCCCAGTTGCGCATGCCTGCGCTTGCCATCAGCTGCAGGCAGCGAGCATTGCGCAAATGCATGGCATGCATATGCCATCTATCGGAGTGCCCGCACACGGACACGTTGGAGGGCTCGGTAAGTTGATCATCCATGGCTTCATGTTCCGACACTAACATCGTCACTTACAGGGTGGAATGAGAATGCCTGGGGCTATGTGCCAGGGCTTGACTTGGGAGATCTCTCTCAGATGCATGGGAACTTAAACTTCAATCACAATGGTAGATGATATCTGGCATTTCTATGGCAGTTTGGCGGCTTGGAATGTGGATGGGTACAAGTTGGCAGATGATGATAGGGAAAGATCATAAATGGTGTAAAAGCGACATTGGTTTCTTTTTTTTTTGCATTTAGTAGACATATTTTCTTTATCTTCTTAGACTACATGGTACTTTGGGTAATAGATTTCGGATGACTTGCACTGAGACTCTCCATCACCCACCAATCACTAAACTCGTGACTGTACAAAGGATAAGGTCCTTCTGAAGTATGTTAGTATCATTTATTTTACTCGTTACAGAGTGCTGAACCCCCAAAACTCCTGTAATTCCCTTCATGTTCAAGAACCATGCCCATCTAGATTGCCATCTCCTGCATCTGTTCCTCAATCCTACCTGTGCCACCCTCTTTATCGGTTCTGGCCAAATTCTCATCAACAAGAACACCACAATACATGCCGAAGATATCCTTAGGTCCTCTATAAGGATCAATCTTGTTGATGGCAAACTGAATACCATACAGCTGTTTCTCCAAACCCGCTGTCACCTCCCCCAATGGCTGCAACATATTCCGCTCGTTCTCGTGGCCAGAGTAGAACCGGTGCTCCATGTCAAACAAAAAGTATTTCACATTTCTCAGGTCACCGAGGAGCTCATCGATCTCGTTCTGTGATGGATATCTGTGGGCAGGCGGCCTAGCGGTTCCAAGAATAACGATTGTAAGGTCAGGGTAGCAATTCAGGATGCGCGATTGAGCTTGGTGGACTTTCTGTACCTTGCCTAGAGTGTCAATTGCTGCGTCCCTGAATGTCCCTTTGTTGATCCTGCAAAGTAATTCCACAAATGTACTGTACGAGACGCCGATACGTGGCATGACTGCTGGGGCGTTGGAAGCCATGCCAGTGAAAAGTTTGAGATTACCGGGTAATGTCTGAGACTTGAGACGGCGGAAGTGGGCCTTACCGGTGTAGCATTCAGGTGCAGTTGTTGAGGAAAGTAGGGTTTTATATCGTTGAAAACCACTTTCTGTTCTTTTCATATTTCCTGGTAACAGAGCTGAACATTGCATAATACAGAACATAACTAGGGCTTGGACAAACTAGGAGCTCATTGTTCGATGCAAGCCATGGCGTTCTTCATCCTCTCCTCTTACCGAAACCAGACGCTTGCCTAAGACAGAGATTGAACAATAGCCTCCTTTGTATATTCGGCGGAACTCCCTTACAAAGAGCTTCTTTCTGTTTGCGGTGTGTATTGTAAGTTTTTGGACCGCAGAACAGTTGGTAAAGCTTCCAACAAATATGCACAAGCCTGAACGCACTAGAAGAATCATTTCCTAAATATGAACACGCCTCTTTCGCAAACACATTTATCGACAAGCTCCATGTCCTCAAGGCCTAGAACTCAAAACAGCGGTGGAGCTCGTTCATAGCATTTTCGGAGGCCTGTCAGGAAATGGAACATTATCACATCTGCTATCTCATGCGAACAGTCTGCAGCTATACCGCTTTTTTGGGTTCGAAGGTTTCCTAAAGATACCGCGTTTTCTGACCCAACCATGAAGTTGGAACAATTTGTAGTCGAGTGTCTTGAATCATTCCAGGGCAATAATAAGACAACTAATATAATCAAGTCACAGTACCTTACATCAGCCGCACTCACAGGCTTACTTTTAATATTCTACCATGTAAGAAATAAAACAAGGTTAGCACATTCGGTCAAAGAGTGATGACAAGCACAGGTTAAGTTTCTAATAAATTGATCTTGCAGTCTTAGTTACCCCCAGTGACGCCGAAGTCTTACCTCAAGAGACTCCTAAATACCAATTAGCTCGACCTGCTCATACATCTATCAGTATAACTCCTGATATATTCACTGCATTCTAGCCTTTCCCGAATACCACATTGCATCTCACAACAAATAGACCCAAGTCACCTTTAGTTCATTGGCTCTCCGATTTGTTCTCTATGCCATGATGTGAAGTTGCTTCCTACTGATCAATCCGGTGTACCAATGGGTTGTCGCGAACATCACCGTGAATGCTCTTACAACGGCGATCGGGGTCAATTAACCAGATGGCAAATTGCATGTTGTCCACTTCAAACATGACTTCGCTAGCCTGCGTAACCACAGCCGCCAGCGTGAGCTCTTGATCCGGGCCATCCACCTGTTCTTTCATCCCAGCAATGTGACTTTTGAGTCTCTTGAGATAGGAAAGCAGTTGGTCGACTTCTTCCTGAGAGGGCATCGGTGGAGCAGCTTCTCGCACAGCTTCTATCTTTTCAAACACCAAGTCGATGAGTGTTATGGCCTGGCACGACATGTTCTTGAAAGTATTAGCCATGGTATTAGATGCGATTGAAGAATTCTGACTGGTCTCTTGAGTTATTGTGTATGTTGCTGAAGATTGCAATATGTTGCGAGTGAGAATTGAAGTGAAAGTGGATATTCAGTCTTGGATCGAAGAGCCACAGCAGCTTTATTTATAATTCTTCTGCTGCTATTGCATGGGATAGTGAGATCATAAGATCAATTTCAGATGCTCTTTATTCATCCTGAGTTCTTCGAGACCAATCGTGTTGCGCGACGAGAACAGAGGAATCCAGGACTTTTTGTTATTGATCGAGGAGAACGTGGGAAGCCATTACAACGAACAGAATACAGACCTCATAACTTCCATGCAATCATAGAGAGTCACAAGTGAACAGCGCCTAATTCCAACGTGTAGTATCGGATTTGGTTTATACATGTTTCTGCAGCGGTCATGAAAGCTGAGATACACAGGCATCATAACGACACAGCAATAATCTAGGATTACTAACTAATCAGTATCTTTCCAGGTTTAAATTCCTGCTGAAAGGTTATCGAATTTATTAATTGAGCTATAAGAGAGGGACAATTTGCAGCCAGCTTCTATCGAAATATTCTATTATATAGCAACAATTTAACATTAACTTTACAGCAGCTTTTACATTAACAATAATAAATAAGATTCCTCACATTCTTAATATAAGCAATATGCCAATCTCGGGATAATATAGGTAAAGTGTGATAATAAAAGGACGCTAGAGTTTATAAATCAATTCAAGTGATTCTATTTATGCCGGGCACCTTCAAGTCTCAGAAGCTACTCAAGAACATATAGTCGAGAATGAAAGCAATTTGATCTATACACCATCAGATATACCACCAATTAGAACCCTCCTCTTACTTGTCAATAGGTTCTTCATAGGGATTGTAGCGGACACGCCCTTTGAGACTAAGACAAAGTCGATCGGGGTTGAGTCGCCAGATGGCAATCTGTATGCAATCCACCGCAATCATAACCTCCCTTGCCTCTTGACACGCAGCTTGCAGGTCGCGCTTCTGGTCTTCATCGTGCTCGTCTACGAGTCTCTGCGCCATTTCTGTGGCGTTGAAGGCAAGGCCGAGGATAAACACGAGCCTGCTAATTTCCTCTTCCGAAAGCGGTCGTGGAGGCCCTTGTCGCAAGTTATCCAGAGTGCCACGAATGTCTTTGGTTCGGACCTCGGCCAGGCAGAGCCAGGTGTTGAAGGCCCTGGTTTGAGTTACATGCATTGTAGTAGAAGATGCCTGATCCATTTTATATAGTGCAGTGTAGGCAATATACTAAAACGTGAGAATTCTGATGATATGTTGTACAAGATCTGACGCTAGCTAGATGCGTTATTTGCAATTGGGACTTAGGGCTGAGAACTTAGTTGATAACGAAGACTGAATGTTGGGATTGTGAAGGCAATGCAGCTTAATTTATAATCTTTTTTATCCTCCTATACCCCCTGCAAATTAACAAGGTTGAACATCATACTTAGGTTTCCCTTACTTGTCCCTAGTTCTCTAACATGAACATATAGAACCTTGCCTTTAATGTGTGCAGCACTGGCCTCAAGTTTCTCTTGTTCCACCTCTTTTTCTACATTCTTACAATGGTTAGACGAACATAGGTATTGTTCCGAAAAGAGCCTTAAAAGATACCTCTCGTGAAAATAGACGGAGGGACAAATCGACAGCATCTGGTTACAAAATGGATTGTTAACGACTACAGTTCTACCACAATATCAGATTATGTTCGCGGCCTTTATAAAAGTGTGGGCAGAGACAGGTTCTATTTATACATCATCTGGACGGAAATCTCGGTGATTTTAGTAAGTAACCTTTTAGCCAAAACCTAGAGACGTCCCTTTTATGTTGTTATTGGGCGTTCTTTAAGCTCGTGATAATGATTTTAAGGGTTTGACCTTGCAACCATGAAGATGTACTAATATACTGATGGATACTTTTCAGGACGGAAGCTTTGACAGAAGCTTATAGGAGGCATTGCGTTATGGTGTTAAGGTATTGGATGATGTAACTTTCTTTTGGAGAAGTCTTGGGCTAATAGCCTGTAATGTTAACTAAATTAAAAAATAATCTTGTTTGTTTAAGCTGAACAGTTACCTACCAAAGTTTTCATGTTATGGCTAGCAAGTACGTCTATGGTTGAAAAAAGAATATTGAATTACCATCTCAATTAGCTTGCTGCGGTTTGTTGTGAAGCCTAACTCGCAAGTATGTTTCGATTGATGCTCCTGGTACTCCGAAATCCATGCTGTCTTATCTTAAGAGATCGAGAAAGTGCAACGAGTATTTTGCCCGTGTGTGTTTATTGGTGTTCTGTACCTTTGTGGCCTGGGGGTTGACGGCCTCTTTGAACCTCCTAACCTCATCACAGTAAGAGATTGAGATGCGTATTTTCCAGTGTGGTAAAAGATATTCAGAAGAGAGGAACCAAATAAGTTAAGGTCTTTGCGGAATGTATGAGACGGTAGAGCTCAAGATGATGCTAGTACACGGTACTTTGAACGAGGTCCTGTCAAGAACGCGGACGATACTGTTGCGCCGGCGCTCCGGACTTCAGCAAACTTGAACCTCCACCCACTAGTTGCTCTCGCTCAACAGTCGTACCCTAGCTTCGGGAAGCAAGAAAACAACAGACCTCTATATAGGGTGC